GCTGGGCTGGACCCTGGCTGTCCTCCAGCACGGGCACCCTGCCTGCCTCTCCAGCCCTGGAGGGCCCCTTGGGCTGTGAGGGCCTCTGGAAGCTGGGTCCCCGGCTCTGGGACCTGGAACTGACTCGGCAGGGCCTTCTCCCGCCTGGACAGTGGGCACTGGGTGGGACTGCAGCTTCAGGCCTCAGTTTGGCCTGGAGTCCCGTCCACTCGGTGCTGGGGGGAGATGGTCACCCTGGTCCTGCAGAAGGGGGTGTAGGTGGCCCGTCGGCATGTCTCAGGAATAGCTGCAGTGGCTGGTCTTGTGGGAGTCGGAGGCCAGCCTGCTGGGCCCCAGGCCTCTGCAGCCCTTCAGTGCCTCCTGCCCCAGGATGGTCAGCGCCTGCCCAGGCTTCCCCTGACACTGCCCACAGCCTCCAGAGTGGGCACTTCCGTGGAACCACCCAGCACTCCCTGGTGTGGGCAGGGCCAGGGCCTTGGGCCAGTGGGGTTCACCCAGACGTGCTGCAGGAAGGGGCAGCTCTCGGAGGGTGTCTCCGTCCCCTCTGGAGAGGGGGCCCAGGGCCAGGCCGTGACTGGTCCAGGAGGGCGTGGCTGGTGTTTGCGGGTGGCACAGTGACCTGCTTTCATCTCAGTGCTGACCTCGGAGTGACTTTGTCTTGGGGTTCCGTGAGGTGCTCATGCCAACAGGCAGCAGGTGGCCGCGAACTCCCAGGAGGACAGGACCCTCGGGAGGCCCCCCGTCCAGCCCACCTCCCCACAGGGGCTGGCTGTGGCTGGGGGCACCAGGACCAGCAAGTGCCCCTCCCCTGGGGTGCTGAGTCAGCACAGGGGCCTCAGTGGCTGCCCAGGACCCTGCTGGCTGGCTGGACCCTCGAGGGCTGGCCTTCCTCCTCCCGCACCCCCCACAGCCTCAACCTCCCTACGGCTTGGGCCTCGGTGTCCTGGGAGGTCCCCAGGCAGTGTCTGAGCCCCTGGCCGGAGCCTCACTGTGCCAGGTGACGGTGAGGCAGGGTGCAGAGCCTGTGTGTGGGGGACCCTGTCGCCTGCTCGTCTTCCCTGGATCTGAGGCTGCTCTAAGAAAGTATTGGTTAAAGAAGAAGAAGCGGAGGGCAGGGTGGAGGCTTTGCCGGGATCGCGTGGTGCACGTGGGACGGGCCTACCCTCATGCCGCCGGGGCCTCTGAGGCTGTGGTCCTTGGTCAGGCCTCACCCGTGTGGCTCCTCACGTCTCTGGTTCCCAATGCCAGGTGGCATGGGGTGACCGTGGGGGTCCCGTGTGCTGCGCACTGGGGTCTGGTCTTGCCTGTGACGCCCGCTGGCCCTGCGGTGGTGGTCTCTGGACAGCAGGCTGTGGCTCCTGGAGTGGCCGCCCTCCCCTGGCCCCTCCCCGCCTCCTCTGGCCTGCGGTGGTGGCTCCCACTGCGGTTCCTCTGGGACCCGGGCCTGCTCTCTTGGCCTGCTCTTTCTGGCTTTCTCCCTGGCCTTCTAGACATGGGGTGCTGGCTCCAGGCCCAGCGGCCTCCAGGTGTGCAGGCCTCCACACTGCCAGCCAGGCTCAGGTCCCCAGTCCCCGGCCAGGTGCAGACCCTGACACTTGGTTTCCGCAGCTGAGGAGAACAGTGTCATCGGGGATGCTCTGGCAAAAGTGTCCTTTGTCCCTGTCCACTGAGACCTTCAGCCCTTCAGCACAGGGCCATGTGCCCAGAGTTTACAGTGAAAGACGAGCTGAAAACAGGGTAGTGCTCGGAGGCAGGCGGCCTAGGCCTCCTGCAGCTCCCCTTCCCGGGACCGGAGTCTCCGCCCGTCAGAGGTGGGTGCCTCTGCCGCGTGCGTGCAGCAGGCGGCTTGTCCCCTGTGACTTCTGTGGAGGCAGGGGACACTCAGCTGCTGAGAACCCCCTTCCTTGGCCTTCTCAGTATTGTTAGATCACAAAATCAGACATGAGATCCGCTGTGTTGGCGGTCACACTGCGCCATCACGGCCAGCACCCGGGCCGGCCTTGCCTGCGCTGTCCCGTCATGCAATGTCACCGACAGCTGCGCCTTCCCATTCTTCCTCTCAGTGCAGCTCCCAGAGACCACCCTCCAGATCCCCGCCTGGAACCACGCACGGATGCGCCTTTGTGGTTGGCCGCCCCTCCCCGTGGCTCTTCCGGAAGCCCCTGGCCCGGGCTGTGCTGGTCTCACGCCTCCCCTTGCTCTCGCTTTCCGCCTCCTGTTGGTGGAGTCCACCTGCAGTGGCTTCTGAGAAAGGACTAGGGAAGGTGAATTGGTGTGACTTGGTGACTTGGTTGATGGATTGGCGTAGCACCGGGACTGGAAGTCACTTCTGCTCGGAGCCTGCGTGGGCCACCGCTGGGTCGGGGTCGGCTGTCCTCTGCCACTCGCTGCTCAGTCCAGCACCTGCCGCCTGCTTTCCTGGCCTCGGGACGTCTGTGGAGTCTGCGTGGGGCGGCCCACAGCCTCGTGCTGCGTGTCTTGCTGGAGCTCTCTCCCCTGTTTGTGCCCGTGTCCGTGGACCCCTGAGTCCTATTGGTGTCTCTGGTCCTTTGCGCCTTTGCTCTCTGAGACCCCTACGCGGGCCTCCTGGATGGTTCTCGAACTTCCCTGGCCTCTTCCACCTCTTCCTTTCGTTTGGTTTCTGAAAGATCTAGAACTCGTCCTCCAGCTTGCTCGCCAGGGGGGAACTCCGGCCACCCTCTCCTGGGTCCCGGGGCTTCTCTCTCCGACCTGCTCTCAGCCTTTCTCTCGAGGGTTTCAGTCCTGGTCCCTTGATGTCTTCCCCCCAGGGCTTTTCCTGATGGTACCCCCTTCCCGTCCACCTGTGCCTGTGGCCTCTGCCCGTGGAGGCTTCCTGATGACCTTGGCACCAGAGGCTCTGGGCGTGGCCTTTGCCACTGGCCTGCCTTGGTTCCTTCAGGGGAGCCCTCCCGTCCCTGGGAAAGGCCGTTCCTATTGCCAGCGTCCTCCCTTGGCAGGTCTCTGTCCCCGTCAGCACTGTCTGGGGTCCAGAACTCCCCGCCTGACCCAGCCTTGGGATACAGATGACCAGCACGGGTGGGCCCACGTCCAGCCCCGCCCCCAGCTGGGACAAGTCCCACAGTGCTGGGCCACCCTCGCCCTCCTCCGGCCCCACACCCCTCTTCTCCTGCAGGTACCCAGCTCCAGATGAGTCCCACTCACGAGGATGCCCATCCTGGGCCCTTTGTGTGGGCAAGCTGACCTCTGACCCCCATCCCCAGCCACTTGGCAGAAGCTGGGGTGCAGGGTAGGTGCCACTGCCTCTTGGTGCAAAGGGCTCTCGTGGCCTTTGTCCGAGGCTCTGGCCAGGTCGAGGCTTGGTGCACACCTGTCCTCGCCCGGGTCTGGGCCACCTCATTGGAGAGTGAGGAACCCGCAGCGTGGCCCTGCCCCCAGGGAGATCAGGGCCTGGTTGAGCAGGAGAATGTGCTTGGAACACCCAGGGGCCCGCTGCTGTCCCCAGCCCGTCTGCAGCCTGTACGGCGGCCAGCCCCTGGACGGTGGGTACTGGGTGAGGGGCACTGTTGGCCCGTGTTGTGTAGCAGGGGCAGGAGCTGCTCTGGCCTGGCGGGTTGGACGGGGGTGGGCAGCTTGGGTGAGAGGAGTCTGCAGACAAGGCTCAGGGACAGACAAGCCGGAGAGGTCGGCCGCATCCTGATGTGGGGTGTGCTGAAGGTAGGGAGGGTCCTGGGCCACAGTGTCAGGCTCCGTCTCCCCAAACCTCGAGGTTTTACTCCCTGGGCCGGGGTTTGTATGGAGGAGGTGGCTCTGGTGGCAGGCAGCAGGGAGGGGCAGGGAGTGTGGCCACCGCAGGTGCCGTGCCCTGCTCAGGCGTGGGACCCAGTGGGACCCTGCTGTGAGGGTGACTGAGGACCAGCACGGCCGGGCTGCGTGTGGGCAGGCCGTGCTCCAGTGACCTGTGGGTGCCGGGCGCTGGCTCCTGTTGTGTAGATAAGGAAACTGGCCTGCAGTCACAGAGCCAGGCCTGCCGGGCCTTCTTACTGTGCCCTGGGCAGCATGGAGTTCGCCATCTCGACCTCTTCTCCCAGGCGGCCTTGGACTCCTGGCCTCCGCGGGCTGGCAGCGTTGCTCGCTGCCCCAGGTCTCCAGCCTGTGTGGGCGTGCAGCCTCGGGGCACTAGGTCAGCTGCCGTGTGGCACATCGTCCAGCGATTTCCATGGCCCCAGGAGAAACTTCATACCCACCAGCAGAAGCCCCTCACCCAGCCTGGGCAGCCCCTTTTGACTTCCTCTGTGGACCACTTGCCTCCAGGACCCGTCCCTGGGCCCACTGGCCCTGGCCTTCTGTGTCTGGCTCTTCCTGTTGCACGACCTGCTCCCGTGGTGCAGGCCGCGGGCTGCTTCCCTCCTCACAGCCGCGGGTCCCTGGCAGGGGCGAGTGGCACTCCCTTATCCTCGCCTCTGGACGTGCGGGGGCCTCCACCTCCGGCTCCTGGGACAGTGCTACTGAGAGTGGGGCATACGGATGTCACAGCCCTGGCCTCCTCGGGGTTGTGGGGTGTGCTGATTGTCATACCTGAGGTCACCTGAGGACACACACCGCCCCACTCACTGCCTTCTGCCCTGTCCCCCTGAGACATCTCCTGGGTGCCTCCAGCAGAGTCCCTGCAGCTGCCTGGGCAGGGTGCTGTGGCCACCCCAGGCTGTGGGCCCCTCCAGGGCCCCCTGTGCACTGCAGGCTGCAGGCTCACTCTGGGCCCTGTGCCTGGTGGTGCCACAGAGCGGTGCCTCTTTCCCGCCCCAGTCCCTAAGGGAGTGGACCCCTCCTGTGGGGAGCAGGAGCCAGGTCTCTGACAGTGACCGTCGGGGTGTAGGTGGTGAGCGCTCTGTGTTCCGTGGGCCTCCACGTGAGCCAAGGTGGGAGTGCAGGCAGAGCCGTCCGCGGAGGGACTGCTGGCCTGTCCCCGTAACCGGGGTGCTCGCTGCCCTGGGTACTGACCCCTCTCTCTGTCTCCCCAGGGACGTACCAGGGCCAGTGGGTCGGCGGCATGCGCCAAGGCTATGGTGTGCGGCAGAGCGTCCCCTATGGCATGGCGGCAGTGATCCGCTCGCCTCTCAGGACGTCCATCAACTCCCTGCGCAGCGAGCACACCAACGGCACCGCGCTGCACCCGGACGCCTCCCCGGCGGTGGCCGGCAGTCCGGCCGTGTCCCGGGGCGGCTTCGTGCTGGTGGCCCACAGCGACTCCGAGACCCTCAAGAGCAAGAAGAAGGGGCTGTTCCGGCGCTCACTGCTCAGCGGGCTGAAGTTGCGCAAGTCCGAGTCCAAGAGCAGCCTGGCCAGCCAGCGCAGCAAGCAGAGCTCCTTCCGCAGCGAGGCGGGCATGAGCACGGTCAGCTCCACGGCCAGCGACGTCCACTCCACCATCAGCCTGGGCGAGGCCGAGGCCGAGCTGGCGGTCATCGAGGACGACATCGATGCCACCACCACGGAGACCTACGTGGGGGAGTGGAAGAACGACAAGCGTGCGGGCTTTGGCGTGAGCCAGCGCTCGGACGGGCTCAGGTACGAGGGCGAGTGGGCCAGCAACCGGCGGCACGGCTACGGCTGCATGACCTTCCCCGACGGCACCAAGGAGGAGGGCAAGTACAAGCAGAACATCCTCGTGAGCGGCAAGCGCAAGAACCTCATCCCGCTGCGCGCCAGCAAGACCCGGGAGAAGGTGGACCGGGCGGTGGAGGCGGCCGAGCGGGCAGCCACCATCGCCAAGCAGAAGGCCGAGATCGCAGCGTCCAGGTAGGCGGCCCTCGTGCCCGGCTCCGGTCCTCAGGCCACGTGGGACCTCAGAGGCCCTAGGGGCCCGTGGGCAGGGTGGGGCAGGGATGCAGGCGGCGGGAAGGGCCTGGGCCCCCGTCTGTCCGGGCATCTACATGTGTTCACTGTGGACTGTCGGGGGATGGCGGCTGCCTGGGAGGGGCTGTGGGGTGCCTGTGGCTGTGCCGCTGCCCAGACTGGCCCCTGAGATTCTCCATAGGCTCTGCAACGGCCCCGTGGACAGAGCAGCCAGGAGGAGCTCAGGCGAGACTTGGCGCCTCGGGCCCGCGGCTTTCTGGCCCTGGCTGTGGGACAGTGAATTCCGGGCTGAGCGGGGCTGCAGGGCCCTGAGGAACAGGTCCAGAGGTGGCCGTGGGTGGGTGCCTTAGGGACTCAGGACTTCTCTCGGCATGGTCAGAGAGCAGGAGCCCAGGGCCAGGGAGGACGCGGGCCTGCTCCTGGGGAGCTGCGGGGGCCAGTGTGAGGACCTGGCTGATCCCAGCTGGGCTGTGGGAGCCCGTGGGAGCTCAGGCACTGCAGGTGGTGCACCTGGCCCGGCGGGTCCTGGGTGGTGTCGTCTGGGCCTCAGAAGGCGCCAGAGACAGTGCGCTTGCTTCCCAGGGCCCCTGCTTTCCTGGGACAGTGTCCAGCTCTTGGTGTCTGAGGGAGAGCCTGGGGCTGGGGAGGACCTGCCTTCTCTGATCCGTGTGTGGACAGACGGAGGGGAGAGACAGGGAGAGACTGGCGTGAGCTTTGATGAGCCCTCTCCACCCCGGCTCCTGCCCAGCCTGCTGTACCTCTGAGGCTGGACGTGTGCACCCTCAGTCCCGCTGGCCGCCCTGACCCCAGGCCCATCTTCTGCGTCGGTAGGATCACAGAGAGGGTTCGGTCCCACCATGGTGCAGCAGGTGCCGTGCAGTTGGATGGGCCTGGTTCCAGATGTGCCGCTGGGGGCTTGGAGCCTGGCCCTGGGTGCGGGGCCTGGCTGACTCCAGTGCCTGCTTTGCCCGTGCAGACGTGGGCACCAGTGTGCAGCTTGTCACCCCTTGTTCCCCTCCAGGGTGCTCTCCCAGGCACTGCAAGCTGAAGGGTCTGGCAGGGAGAGTGTGGCTGAGGGAAGGCCTTCGCGGGCCGCTGGAACCTGCCTCAGCCTCTGGCCTCGGTCCCAGTGGACCACCCCCAGCATCTCCATGGCTGCTGAGCAGCCAGGTAAAGTGGCTCACCCTCTCTGAGCCTGGACATGGTCTGGTGTGTGGCGGGCCCTGTTGTCATTGCTGATGTCATCTCCAGCCCTACTCTGGAGGCCCAGCAGGGGCAAGTGAGTCTGAGCCCTGGCTGTGACCCAGCGCTGTGGCCATGACCTCGGTCACTCAGAGGAGGAAGGGCCATCCTGAGCTGTGGACCCAGAGCTGGGTTTTCCCAGTGGGCTGAGCCTTGGGGAAGAGGGCAGACCAGAGGCCACTGTCAGAGAGAAGCAGCAGGTGAATGGCGGGGCCTTGGGCCGGGCGTGAGGGCCACCCAGCCGCCCAGCAGCAGCTGTGTAGTGTCTGGCCTGGGCAGACACGGTCACTGTCACTGCCGGCAATGCCTGGAGCTGCTGGCAGGGCTGTTGGGCCAAGGGAGGGGAGCGCCCTCCCTGTGTCCTCTGCAGACACGCCAGGACCTCCCTGGGGCTAGTGGACATGGCCACAGTGAGGGCAGGAGAACCCCACTGTCCTGGAGACCAGGGGGCACAGGTGGGACTTGGATTCTGAGGTTGGTGTCATCACTGCCGTCCCACAGGGGGATACTGAGGCCTGCACTGGCCCACCGCAGTGGACGTCGCAAGGTGGGACCACAGGGAGGGTCACAGGGAGGGAAGGAGCCAGTGGCCACATGTAGCCACGTCGTCAGTCCTGTCCAGGGGGCTGGGGGCCCGTTTGCTCCGTGGGCCCCCAGACTTTATAGCAAAGGGTGTGAGGTGGAACCTTCCGGCAAAGTCAGTGGGGAGACCCAGTCCTCGTGGGGTCACCCGTGGTGGGTGATGGGGCCCTCAGATGGCATCTGCTGCAGGTCACCTGCTCTGCAGAGGGTGGCTGAGGGGTGATCCCCTGGATGCTCACGGAGGGGACACGTGGGGTGGTGACTGCGTGCCATTGGGCCCCACTCAGCAGGGCAAGTGCTTGTCATGACACAGTGTGACGCGCACACAGCCTGGGGCAGGGACCTCGAGAGACCCTGCAGGAGGCTGGGTATGGTGGTGCGGGCCTGAGATCCTGTACTTGTGGAGGCTGAGGCAGGAGGATTGCAAGTTTGAGACCAGCCTGAGCAGTTTAGCCAGGCCCTGTCTTAAAACAAAGACCTCGGAGGACCCAGCTTTGCCCAGCACGCTCTCTGGGGTCCCCGTGCAGGTGGGGAGAAGGACAGGGCAGGCAGGGAGGCCTGGTCGTGCCCACTGCCTCTGCTTCGGGGCGTGCCTCCTCTCTGGCACTAACCCTGCAGCCTGGAGTCAGCTGACCCCCGGGAGTGACCCTGCAGCCTGGAGTCAGCTGTCCCCCGGGAGTGACCCTGCAGCCTGGAGTCAGCTGTCCCCTGGGAGTGACCCTGCAGCCTGGAGTCAGCTGTCCCCCGGGAGTGACCCTGCTTGCTCAGGGTGAGGGCCGAGGAGGTCAGGCAGGGGCTTCCCCAGGCCTCTCCTCCCACAGGAGCAGCCAGGAGTGGGCAGGTGCCTGGGGGCAGGGGTGGGCTGCAGAGGTCCGGAGAGTGCAGCTCCATGACGGTCCCTCCATGAGTGGTGGCCAGCTGGTGTCCCCGTGTCCCTGACCAGACGCTGCGTGGTGTGTGCGTTTGGATCGGAGGCGGAGGGTGACTTCCCGGTGCCCTCCGCTGCCCGGGCTGTCTGGTGACTGGGCTGGAGGAGATAAGACGCTGGAAGATGTGGAACCGGAGGGTGGCATCTTTGTTAGTCCCCATTAAAGGGACACACTCACATTTCCTCGTGAAAGCAGGACTGTGACGGGTTTGTGTGAAGGCCACTCGAGCTGTCCGCCTCCTTGGAAGTAGCTCGTTTTCAGACCTTTGTCCACGTGTCTGCAGGACAACAGCCCTGTCCTGCTGTGGTCTCTCTTTCCTCCCTCAGCTGTGGTCTGAGGATATTGTATGGAAACCCCAGAAATCAGTGACTTTGTGAACTGGTACCGCTCCGCGGGGCGCGAGCCACTCTGGCACCTCCCACTCCATCCCACCAGAGGAGACTTGGCCTTGTCCAGGGTGTCCACACGGAGTACCCCACCTGCCCGTCGCTCACCCAGCGGCCACCAGGTCGGCAGAGAGACCGCTCGGGCCTCCTGCGTTTGCCACACTAGTGTCCTGTCCTCCCAGCGCTCCCCTCTCTTGACGGGGAACGTCTGCGCTCACTGTGCCCAGGCTGTTTCTGGGGCTCACTGTGCCCTCTGACCTCAGACCCTGGAGAACCGCCTGCTTTACGCCTGAGCGTGAGGCCTTCGTCAGGGCACTCGTTGGGCCTGGCGGGTCTGTGAAGGCCACTTCGCCTGGTCCCTGGTGTCATGCCCTGCAGCGGTGCTGCCCGGGCTGGGGTGGTGCAGGCCGGGCCTCCTGAATCCAGGGAGGGTGCCACAGGCCAGCAGAGCCCTGCCAGTGGGCGGCTGTGGCCTGGCACCATCAGAGACCGAAGCAGAGAGACGGGCACGTTAGAATCCCGGGCAACGAGGAGGTGGGTGAGGGGCTGGCGGGCTCCTCTCAGGGACCTGGCTGCCTCCGGGCTGACCCGCCCCGGCCACCCAGGAAATCTAGATCTTGGGCCTGAGTCTGGGGGCCTGAGTCTGGGCCAGTGCCCACCCACACCTCAGCACCCCTGGTCCTCGCCCTGTGGGCCAGGAGGACCAGCTGTCGGGTGTGGTTAGCTCGGTCACTGTCCCTGTCCCCTCCTGTGAGCCTGTGTGCTTCAGATGGCAGCTCAGGGCCACTGCTCTCCTCACAGAGGCCTTTGCCTGGCTCAGAAAGGCACCGCGGGAGACGCGGAGACGGAGCCTGTCCTGAGGCACCACGTCCAGGGAGCCCTGGGCCTGGGGGTGGAGCCTAGGGCAGTGCAGGACCCACAGCCTGGACTCTCGCTTCCCAAGAGAAGCCATCACCATTTAAACGGCCCCGGGGCTTGGACTGATCTGGTGACTGGTGGGACCTTGTTCCCTCTATTCTGACCCCAGGCCCGCCGGCTGCAGCAGGAGATGGCCGGGGCTGCTGTGGGTCAGCGCCAGGCCTGGGCCTCCCCTCTGCCCTGCGGCCTGGGCTGACACCAGCTGCCCCGTGGTCTCCTGGGTTAGGCAGCGGGACTCCTGGCTCGGGGCCAAGCACGCTCGTCACTGTCAGCTCCATCAACGTCACGGGGTCAAGCTGACCCCATGGCCCTCGGCACCAGCCCCGCAGGGCGTCTGGCCCTCGTGGCCAGGGTCCTGCCCTGCTTGCTGCCTACTGGAGCCCCACTTCCTGCCTGGGGCAGCTGGGTCTCCGGCTGCTGTCCCTGTGGGTCAGTTCTAACCCGACTTAGATGGCGTCGCGGCTCCCCCCCAGCGCCCCAGGTGCCGCCTGCCAGAACACGCCCCGTCCCTGTCCTGTAGGAGACCCAGTGCGGGAGCCCTCACTGTCCTCCCTGTGGTGGACATGCCAAAGCAGCCTCCGTTTCCCACCGTGAGGCGGGGTGCGCTGGCCGCGGTGCAGCTCACCCCCCTCGGGGGTCTGAGGGCTGAACTTCATGTGACGTCCCGTCCAGCCTGGGGTCTAGCCAGCGCTGGGGGGGGGCTGCTTTCTCTTCCTGGCTGTCTGCTTCCTGTGTCCAGTCTGCCCTTGGCCACCTGCCTGTGGCTCCTCCCACTTGGACACGTGGTTGGTGTGGTTGCTGGGGTGGGGGTGCCAAGCTGGGCCTGGCCAGGGCCCCGGAGGCCAGGTGCGATTCAGCTCACCCCTTGCATTTCACGGGAATGTCT